ACCCTGTGTAGAGCAAATCATCGACGTAGACCGTGAGCAGAATGTAATCACCGCGGAAGTCGCAGCGGTACATTCCAGGACCATGAGGCAGCTGCTTGAAGCCTATCTCAAGCAAGATGTTGTGCACATATTGTTGCCAGAGCCTTGGTGCTTGTTTGATTCTGTAGAGGGACTTCCGTAGCTGGCACACGCGCGAATCCCCTTCGCCGTACGTGTGCGGCTGCTCCACGTAAATGACCGCATCTACTGGCGCGTATAGGAATGCGTTCTTCACGTCGATTTGGCGCAGCGGTAAGTGTATTGCGGCGGTGATGGCGAGCAGGATTCTGACGGAGGTGTGACGGCTGACCTGTCCGAACGTCTGATCGAAGTCGATGCCGTGCCTCTGATCATAGCCACGTACGACCCAACGCGCCTTGAAACGTTCGATCGTGCCGCCCACTGCGGTCTTCACGCGGAACACCCATTTGCCGGAGAGAATCCTTCTCCCCTTGACTGCTGCTCAATCGACGAGCACCCATGTATCGCGGGATTCCAGCGCCCTGATTTGTGCGTCCATCGCTTCGCGCCACTCCTTGCTGCATGGTCCAGTGAGTGCCTGGCGCGGATTTTTGGGCTCAATCATACGTGGCGCCGTTGAGGTGGCAGCGTGGAGCCCCAGCAGCTGCAGTCCTGAGACGGTGCTGTCGTGGCGATGTTGCGGGATAACCTCCTGCACGTTGTCATCATCGCTCTCTGGCTCAGATGGCGGTGGTGGTGCTGCGCCTCTGCCGCTTCCTCCTGTTCCGCAGACTCCTCCTCTCGATGGGTCTTCATCGTTGTCGTTGCTGTTGTGGTGATCTCCTCCTCCAAACTCGCCTCTGGTGTCTTGCTCCAGGATAGCCACTGCCGCTTCGTCTTCGGGCGTTGCGTAGCTGTGCCCGTCGTTCGCGTAAACGCGGTTCGCATTAGTTCGTTCGTCTTCGCGGAATTGGTCGAGGAAGGGTCGTTTGTTGAAGATGACGTCGCGCGCGTTCGTGATCTTCTGGCTGAGAAGGTCCAAGATGAGCCACGCCTTGTGTTCGCGTCTGATGCCGAGGTGGATTCCCCAGCGCGCGCGGCTTGCGAACTTCCGGATGGTTGACGTCGGCGGGCGATATTGCACCATCCACCCCCAGACACGGAATATGGATGTGTCTCTTTTGGTGCCCGTCCATTCGAGGTGCGGCGACAGGTTGCTGGTGATCGCGGTGGTTGACAGCAGGTTGTGCACCCGCACAGCGTGGTGCATCGCGTATGTCCAGTACATTGGCAGAAGCTTCAACTATTTTGTCATGAGTGTGCGATTCGTACGCTCAGCGACACCTTGCTGTGGGTGTGAGTAGGGAAGAGAGATGTGATGATCAATGCCTTAGTGCGCTAGATAGTCTTGCAGCTCCTCGCTGCGGAATTTCGCTGCGCCGTACGACTGCCAAATCTTCAGCTGCTTTCCAGATTGCCGCATCGCGTGCGCCAGCCAGAGGCGAAATACCTCATACGCCCTGCTGCGGAGCTCGACGTTGACTACCCACACGAATCAGGTTCCTGCGTCAACGAACGTGAGCGAGTACTGCTCGTCGTTGAGCCCGCAGTGGCCGATGAGGAGGAAATTGTTGTACACCTTATGCAGGTTTGGGTAGCGGTTAGTCCGTGGTCCCAATAGGGGGAACGGTTGATGGTAGAGTGCAGCTTCGGGGCAGACGTCGCAGTTGCGCGACTGCGTCGTGCTCCCCGTTTTGGTGCCGTCAGGCCGCAGTAGAGCGTCAGGTGCAAAGTCACCTGCGTCGATGCAGTTTTTCAGTGTCGCGCGCGAGGGATGACCGAGGAGCTGGTGCCAAAGATCGTCGATGGCGCGAAATCCGGAGGTGCGCATATAGCGTGCGAGTGCTGTCTCAGGGTCTTCTTCTGGTGCAGCTTCTGCTGCTGCCTCTTCAGCTTCCTCTTCATCGCTCACCGTCGTCAGCATCAGTGCCAGGAATTCTCTGTCACGGATCACGGAAAGCGGGATGTTTGTTTCGGGGATTGTGCCGGGGAAATAGGTTGGTTCGCATAGCTCGGGATCGGGTATGTAGGCTGTACGACGCGGGGTGGACGGTTCGTTGCCCCAGTCGATGGTGTCCCACGGGTCTTGGTGCGGCTGGATGTCAGGTGGGGGAAGCACAGGTGCGGGAAGGCGCGGGGAGCGGTCGAGAGGAACAACGCGCAGTTCGGCTTCTGCTATTCTTCTCGCCAGTTGCCAGAGAAGGTGTGCGGGGCGGTATTGTGGCCATTCCAGACCGGTTGAGAGGGTTGGGAAGATGTTCCCGCGTCGCCATTCCGCAATGTTTGGAGCCCTTGCTCCAAGTTTGTGAATCGCTGAAGCAGTTGTTCGAGGACGGCGTTTTTGATCGTTGTCGTCTCTTCGTTTGTCGCCTCGTTTGTCGCAGCCGTGTTAAGCTACACTTCAGCGGTCAGATTCGTCTAACCTCTAGATCAACCGGCCATTCTTACGCGTGAGCGTGTGCCGGACGCCACTATAGATCGCCGATGATTTGGGGGGGTGGCGTTGCGAAGGATTCCTGACTCGCTCTCATACCATGCTGCGATCAGAAGTTGATCGTAACCAGGATCACCTTAGGAAGGTTCGCACAGAGTAGGTGTGTTGGTGGTGGGCCCTTGACCTCGAGTCAGAGTGAATGTAAAATGATCGAGATGATTGAAACATGCAAATACAAGCATTATAAATTATGATACAGGGGAATACCAAACGTCCTAGCTAGCCATGTACTCTAAGGGGTACATTCCCTTGTTCAAATTCAAACCCAACCGTGCGGCGCGTACAGTTACGAAAATTTTCCCGCCAATTCTCTTGCTCCTGCAGCTGCCCGATGTCGTTTCATGCCAACGGTCCAGATGCATTCCAACTATCAGCGTCGCTTCGAGTCAACTCTGACTGTTCGTTTCCAGCTTCAATACTGTGTGCTTCTGATTGTGTGCTGTCAGGAGTGCACACTGTTCTTCTTAGTTTATCATTCGTAACAGGGTGTGTGATTCAGCTTCAACTTTTTGCGAGACGCGTGACTTGAACTTCATTCATGTTCAGTACATTCGATTCCAAAACGTGAACTTATTCAAAAAAAAAAAAAAACAAAAATCACACACGCCTTGAGTAAGGCAGCTTATGGTAATGGTGTAAACCTTGCAAGGCAGACCGCACACCACCGTGCTCTTACCGAGACAAGATCTGAAGACTTCCGTTCTGGAAACTCGCGGATTTTATAAGATCTACTTTTGGCACATGCTTAAGGTACCAAAGGGCCAATACATTTCAATGCTGCGGTGTTGTACCTTCACCTTCATGAGGGGTTGTTGTGATGTGAATCCACGACCCCTCCCTCTCTGTTGCATTACACTTTCCAGACTGATGGCCGGATGTTGGAAGGTACTAATGGGTAGTACATTTCAATGAATGGTTATTGTAAGTTGTAACTGTCAACATAGTAGCTAGAACTTAGTAGCCATTGCTAGGGTTTAGTTAGCTAGGCAAGGGGGGTGATGATAGGAACTATCGAGAGAATTGGGCAAGAAGGGGCTTCACTAAGAGAAGTGTTACAAGATATAGCAAGCCAAAGGGTGCACCACCAAACAGGACAGCTATCTAACTACACTACAGCTAGAACTACATGCAATTATACAGAAATATATATATATATATATAACATCTTCTGACACACCCCCTTAGTGCATGCAGGAATAGCCATGTGCAGAACATCTCCTGAAGTGGTACACCCTGCAGGCCGCAGCAGAAGGAGAGGCCAAGTGAGGAGGAGGAGGGACTATGAGAGGAGAGGAGGTGGTAGGCGGCGGCTGAGGCTGCTGGCACACGGACAACTGGAGCAACTGGCACACTTGCAACTGGAGCAACTGGCACACTGGCAACTGGAGCAACTGGCACACGGGCAACTGGAGTAACTGGCTCCGCGGCTAGACGAGCGGCTGGAGCAACTGACCCACGGGCGACTGGAGCAACGGGCTCACGGGCGACTGGAGCAACGGGCTCACGGGCGACTGGAGCATCAGGCTCACGGGCGACTGGAGCTGCTGGCTTCACGGCGGCCACCCCCCCCTTTCATCCTCCCCCATTTTCCCAAAACTCCCTTTCACACCCCTCGACATCCCTACTGCCACTCCCTCGTCTCCCCCACACCCTCCCCCCCCCACAGTGGCATGTGCGGCATTGGGAGAGAGAGGAGGAGGGGCGGCAGCTGATTACTCACACCCGCCACCCCCATACCCTCCCCCCCACTGCTGCACGTGCAGCAGGGAGATGGAGGAGAAAAGGGGGGGGGGGAGGGGGGGGGGTCTGCGCGGGCGACAGCAGGGCGCACGGGCGGGCAGAAAACCGTCGCGCGGCCAGGGCGCGCGACGGGCAGGAAACCGTCGCGCGCTCGGGGTGCGCGGCGGGCAGGACATCGACGCGCGCACGGGGCGCGCGACGGGCAGAAAACGGACGCGCGCCCGGGGCGCGCGACGGGCAGAAAACGGACGCGCGCCTGGGGCGCGCGACGGGCAGAAGGGCAAATGAGCGGAAGCTTAAAGGTGGGCCCAATGAGGTAGGTCCTAGGAGGGACCCGCTCTGATAGCATGTCAACATAGTAGCTAGAACTTAGTAGCCATTGCTAGGGTTTAGTTAGCTAGGCAAGGGGGGTGATGATAGGAACTATCGAGAGAATTGGGCAAGAAGGGGCTTCACTAAAAGAAGTGTTACAAGATATAGCAAGCCAAAAGGTGCACCACCAAACAGGACAGCTATATAAGTACACTACAGCTAGAACTACATGCAATTATACAGAAATATAGAAAAAATATATTTTCTGACAGTAACTCAAGTTGCAAAAATATTTCTGTAGCCAAGCGCCTCCTTGCTAAGGGTAATCATCTAAGAAACAGTTCAGTAATTCTCCACCATGGCTCGCTCGCATCGATGCGATGGCACAAAAGAATCAGGCACAGGAGCCCTGGCGAAGGCCGGTCAGCAGCTCGAGATAGCCGGATGAATCGGGAGAGATCATGCTGATGGGATGGGGAGACATGACACAATGCAAGGGACTGGGTTGTTGGAAATCAAGGTGGTTGCAGAGGGTGAGAAAGACCAATATAAGCCGCACATTAGCATTCTTGAGTGCCGTCTAGTGGACAGACCCCGTCTCTCTACCTGCAAATTCTTTCGCCGCCCAAATTCTTGTGGCTCCTCAAAATAAGGTGGTCGCAGAGGATAAGAAAGAGAGACAAGAGGAGCAATTTCATTGCCAAGTGTGAGTCCGGTACCACACCACAGTGACACCCACACCAGCAACCACCTTCATACAATGCAGTCATGCACACACACCCTCTCGCTTCCCCCCCCCTGTGTTATCATAGGCTGTACCTTCACACAGTCCAGTAACCAGTCATCCTCACGAGTCATCATCCAGAGTAGTGTCTTACAAGGGGAGATGGGAGTCGTGAGGCCCTCCACGAGCCCTCCATGACGTAACTCATGGGCAGATGGGAAGCAAGCAAGCACAGCACTCCACACTCACCCGTGTCTTATAAGGAAGTCGATAATGACAAGGTTGCAGTTGGCCTTGTACTCCCTAGTGTTGGCCACGATATTAGCCACAGCTTCGACGGGTATCAGAGAAAACTCCGCAACTTCCCCATCTGTTGGTGGAAGGAATTGGGAAAGAGAAAGAAACGAGAAGGGATTGAGACGCACAAGCTCTATCTGCTACTTTGCTGTCTGTTGGTGGGGGAAATGGTGGAAAGCATAGTGGGGATCGAATGAGAAAGAGAGAAACAGAAGCATATTTGCTGGCAGCAGTAGAGGAAGAGGTGCTTGGGAAAGGGACAAGCACGCGAAAAACTTTCGAGGAGCCTTGAAGATTAGAGGAAGAGATTAAGGGGAGGAACAAGCACGTGTTGGTGGGAGAAGAAGTGGTGCATGGCAGAGACACCACCAGTGGTGCATGGCAGAGACAACACCAGTGGTGCATGGCAGAGACAACACCAGTGGTGCATGGCAGAGACACCACCAGTGGTGCATGGCAGAGACACCACCAGTGGTGCATGGCAGAGACACCACCAGTGGTGCATGGCAGAGACACCACCAGTGGTGCATGGCAGAGACACCACCAGTGGTGCATGGCAGAGACAACACCAGTGGTGCATGGCAGAGACACCACCAGTGGTGCATGGCAGAGACACCACCAGTGGTGCATGGCAGAGACACCACCAGTGGTGCATGGCAGAGACAACACCAGTGGTGCATGGCAGAGACACCACCAGTGGTGCATGGCAGAGACACCACCAGTGGTGCATGGCAGAGACAACACCAGTGGTGCATGGCAGAGACACCACCAGTGGTGCATGGCAGAGACACCACCAGTGGTGCATGGCAGAGACACCACCAGTGGTGCATGGCAGAGACACCACCAGTGGTGCATGGCAGAGACACCACCAGTGGTGCATGGCAGAGACACCACCAGTGGTGCATGGCAGAGACACCACCAGTGGTGCATGGCAGAGACAACACCAGTGGTGCATGGCAGAGACACCACCAGTGGTGCATGGCAGAGACACCACCAGTGGTGCATGGCAGAGACACCACCAGTGGTGCATGGCAGAGACACCACCAGTGGTGCATGGCAGAGACACCACCAGTGGTGCATGGCAGAGACACCACCAGTGGTGCATGGCAGAGACACCACCAGTGGTGCATGGCAGAGACACCACCAGTGGTGCATGGCAGAGACACCACCAGTGGTGCATGGCAGAGACACCACCAGTGGTGCATGGCAGAGACACCACCAGTGGTGCATGGCAGAGACACCACCAGTGGTGCATGGCAGAGACACCACCAGTGGTGCATGGCAGAGACACCACCAGTGGTGCATGGCAGAGACAACACCAGTGGTGCATGGCAGAGACACCACCAGTGGTGCATGGCAGAGACACCACCAGTGGTGCATGGCAGAGACACCACCAGTGGTGCATGGCAGAGACACCACCAGTGGTGCATGGCAGAGACACCACCAGTGGTGCATGGCAGAGACACCACCAGTGGTGCATGGCAGAGACACCACCAGTGGTGCATGGCAGAGACACCACCAGTGGTGCATGGCAGAGACACCACCAGTGGTGCATGGCAGAGACACCACCAGTGGTGCATGGCAGAGACACCACCAGTGGTGCATGGCAGAGACACCACCAGTGGTGCATGGCAGAGACACCACCAGTGGTGCATGGCAGAGACACCACCAGTGGTGCATGGCAGAGACACCACCAGTGGTGCATGGCAGAGACACCACCAGTGGTGCATGGCAGAGACACCACCAGTGGTGCATGGCAGAGACAACACCAGTGGTGCATGGCAGAGACACCACCAGTGGTGCATGGCAGAGACACCACCAGTGGTGCATGGCAGAGACACCACCAGTGGTGCATGGCAGAGACACCACCAGTGGTGCATGGCAGAGACACCACCAGTGGTGCATGGCAGAGACACCACCAGTGGTGCATGGCAGAGACACCACCAGTGGTGCATGGCAGAGACACCACCAGTGGTGCATGGCAGAGACACCACCAGTGGTGCATGGCAGAGACACCACCAGTGGTGCATGGCAGAGACACCACCAGTGGTGCATGGCAGAGACACCACCAGTGGTGCATGGCAGAGACACCACCAGTGGTGCATGGCAGAGACACCACCAGTGGTGCATGGCAGAGACAACACCAGTGGTGCATGGCAGAGACACCACCAGTGGTGCATGGCAGAGACACCACCAGTGGTGCATGGCAGAGACACCACCAGTGGTGCATGGCAGAGACACCACCAGTGGTGCATGGCAGAGACACCACCAGTGGTGCATGGCAGAGACACCACCAGTGGTGCATGGCAGAGACACCACCAGTGGTGCATGGCAGAGACACCACCAGTGGTGCATGGCAGAGACACCACCAGTGGTGCATGGCAGAGACACCACCAGTGGTGCATGGCAGAGACACCACCAGTGGTGCATGGCAGAGACACCACCAGTGGTGCATGGCAGAGACACCACCAGTGGTGCATGGCAGAGACACCACCAGTGGTGCATGGCAGAGACACCACCAGTGGTGCATGGCAGAGACACCACCAGTGGTGCATGGCAGAGACACCACCAGTGGTGCATGGCAGAGACAACACCAGTGGTGCATGGCAGAGACACCACCAGTGGTGCATGGCAGAGACACCACCAGTGGTGCATGGCAGAGACACCACCAGTGGTGCATGGCAGAGACACCACCAGTGGTGCATGGCAGAGACACCACCAGTGGTGCATGGCAGAGACACCACCAGTGGTGCATGGCAGAGACACCACCAGTGGTGCATGGCAGAGACACCACCAGTGGTGCATGGCAGAGACACCACCAGTGGTGCATGGCAGAGACAACACCAGTGGTGCATGGCAGAGACACCACCAGTGGTGCATGGCAGAGACACCACCAGTGGTGCATGGCAGAGACACCACCAGTGGTGCATGGCAGAGACACCACCAGTGGTGCATGGCAGAGACAACACCAGTGGTGCATGGCAGAGACACCACCAGTGGTGCATGGCAGAGACACCACCAGTGGTGCATGGCAGAGACACCACCAGTGGTGCATGGCAGAGACACCACCAGTGGTGCATGGCAGAGACACCACCAGTGGTGCATGGCAGAGACACCACCAGTGGTGCATGGCAGAGACACCACCAGTGGTGCATGGCAGAGACACCACCAGTGGTGCATGGCAGAGACACCACCAGTGGTGCATGGCAGAGACACCACCAGTGGTGCATGGCAGAGACACCACCAGTGGTGCATGGCAGAGACACCACCAGTGGTGCATGGCAGAGACACCACCAGTGGTGCATGGCAGAGACACCACCAGTGGTGCATGGCAGAGACACCACCAGTGGTGCATGGCAGAGACACCACCAGTGGTGCATGGCAGAGACACCACCAGTGGTGCATGGCAGAGACACCACCAGTGGTGCATGGCAGAGACACCACCAGTGGTGCATGGCAGAGACACCACCAGTGGTGCATGGCAGAGACACCACCAGTGGTGCATGGCAGAGACACCACCAGTGGTGCATGGCAGAGACACCACCAGTGGTGCATGGCAGAGACACCACCAGTGGTGCATGGCAGAGACACCACCAGTGGTGCATGGCAGAGACACCACCAGTGGTGCATGGCAGAGACACCACCAGTGGTGCATGGCAGAGACACCACCAGTGGTGCATGGCAGAGACACCACCAGTGGTGCATGGCAGAGACACCACCAGTGGTGCATGGCAGAGACACCACCAGTGGTGCATGGCAGAGACACCACCAGTGGTGCATGGCAGAGACACCACCAGTGGTGCATGGCAGAGACACCACCAGTGGTGCATGGCAGAGACACCACCAGTGGTGCATGGCAGAGACACCACCAGTGGTGCATGGCAGAGACACCACCAGTGGTGCATGGCAGAGACACCACCAGTGGTGCATGGCAGAGACACCACCAGTGGTGCATGGCAGAGACACCACCAGTGGTGCATGGCAGAGACACCACCAGTGGTGCATGGCAGAGACACCACCAGTGGTGCATGGCAGAGACACCACCAGTGGTGCATGGCAGAGACAACACCAGTGGTGCATGGCAGAGACACCACCAGTGGTGCATGGCAGAGACACCACCAGTGGTGCATGGCAGAGACACCACCAGTGGTGCATGGCAGAGACACCACCAGTGGTGCATGGCAGAGACACCACCAGTGGTGCATGGCAGAGACACCACCAGTGGTGCATGGCAGAGACACCACCAGTGGTGCATGGCAGAGACACCACCAGTGGTGCATGGCAGAGACAACACCAGTGGTGCATGGCAGAGACACCACCAGTGGTGCATGGCAGAGACACCACCAGTGGTGCATGGCAGAGACACCACCAGTGGTGCATGGCAGAGACACCACCAGTGGTGCATGGCAGAGACACCACCAGTGGTGCATGGCAGAGACACCACCAGTGGTGCATGGCAGAGACACCACCAGTGGTGCATGGCAGAGACACCACCAGTGGTGCATGGCAGAGACAACACCAGTGGTGCATGGCAGAGACACCACCAGTGGTGCATGGCAGAGACACCACCAGTGGTGCATGGCAGAGACACCACCAGTGGTGCATGGCAGAGACAACACCAGTGGTGCATGGCAGAGACACCGCGAGTGGTGCATGGCAGAGACACCACCAGTGGTGCATGGCAGAGACACCACCAGTGGTGCATGGCAGAGACACCACCAGTGGTGCATGGCAGAGACACCACCAGTGGTGCATGGCAGAGACACCACCAGTGGTGCATGGCAGAGACACCACCAGTGGTGCATGGCAGAGACACCACCAGTGGTGCATGGCAGAGACACCACCAGTGGTGCATGGCAGAGACACCACCAGTGGTGCATGGCAGAGACACCACCAGTGGTGCATGGCAGAGACACCACCAGTGGTGCATGGCAGAGACAACACCAGTGGTGCATGGCAGAGACACCACCAGTGGTGCATGGCAGAGACACCACCAGTGGTGCATGGCAGAGACACCACCAGTGGTGCATGGCAGAGACACCACCAGTGGTGCATGGCAGAGACAACACCAGTGGTGCATGGCAGAGACACCACCAGTGGTGCATGGCAGAGACACCACCAGTGGTGCATGGCAGAGACACCACCAGTGGTGCATGGCAGAGACACCACCAGTGGTGCATGGCAGAGACACCACCAGTGGTGCATGGCAGAGACACCACCAGTGGTGCATGGCAGAGACACCACCAGTGGTGCATGGCAGAGACACCACCAGTGGTGCATGGCAGAGACACCACCAGTGGTGCATGGCAGAGACACCACCAGTGGTGCATGGCAGAGACACCACCAGTGGTGCATGGCAGAGACACCACCAGTGGTGCATGGCAGAGACACCACCAGTGGTGCATGGCAGAGACACCACCAGTGGTGCATGGCAGAGACACCACCAGTGGTGCATGGCAGAGACACCACCAGTGGTGCATGGCAGAGACAACACCAGTGGTGCATGGCAGAGACACCACCAGTGGTGCATGGCAGAGACACCACCAGTGGTGCATGGCAGAGACACCACCAGTGGTGCATGGCAGAGACACCACCAGTGGTGCATGGCAGAGACAACACCAGTGGTGCATGGCAGAGACACCACCAGTGGTGCATGGCAGAGACACCACCAGTGGTGCATGGCAGAGACACCACCAGTGGTGCATGGCAGAGACACCACCAGTGGTGCATGGCAGAGACACCACCAGTGGTGCATGGCAGAGACACCACCAGTGGTGCATGGCAGAGACACCACCAGTGGTGCATGGCAGAGACAACACCAGTGGTGCATGGCAGAGACACCACCAGTGGTGCATGGCAGAGACACCACCAGTGGTGCATGGCAGAGACACCACCAGTGGTGCATGGCAGAGACACCACCAGTGGTGCATGGCAGAGACACCACCAGTGGTGCATGGCAGAGACAACACCAGTGGTGCATGGCAGAGACAACACCAGTGGTGCATGGCAGAGACACCACCAGTGGTGCATGGCAGAGACACCACCAGTGGTGCATGGCAGAGACACCACCAGTGGTGCATGGCAGAGACACCACCAGTGGTGCATGGCAGAGACAACACCAGTGGTGCATGGCAGAGACAACACCAGTGGTGCATGGCAGAGACACCACCAGTGGTGCATGGCAGAGACACCACCAGTGGTGCATGGCAGAGACACCACCAGTGGTGCATGGCAGAGACACCACCAGTGGTGCATGGCAGAGACACCACCAGTGGTGCATGGCAGAGACACCACCAGTGGTGCATGGCAGAGACACCACCAGTGGTGCATGGCAGAGACAACACCAGTGGTGCATGGCAGAGACACCACCAGTGGTGCATGGCAGAGACACCACCAGTGGTGCATGGCAGAGACACCACCAGTGGTGCATGGCAGAGACACCACCAGTGGTGCATGGCAGAGACACCACCAGTGGTGCATGGCAGAGACACCACCAGTGGTGCATGGCAGAGACACCACCAGTGGTGCATGGCAGAGACACCACCAGTGGTGCATGGCAGAGACACCACCAGTGGTGCATGGCAGAGACACCACCAGTGGTGCATGGCAGAGACACCACCAGTGGTGCATGGCAGAGACACCACCAGTGGTGCATGGCAGAGACACCACCAGTGGTGCATGGCAGAGACACCACCAGTGGTGCATGGCAGAGACACCACCAGTGGTGCATGGCAGAGACACCACCAGTGGTGCATGGCAGAGACAACACCAGTGGTGCATGGCAGAGACACCACCAGTGGTGCATGGCAGAGACACCACCAGTGGTGCATGGCAGAGACACCACCAGTGGTGCATGGCAGAGACACCACCAGTGGTGCATGGCAGAGACACCACCAGTGGTGCATGGCAGAGACACCACCAGTGGTGCATGGCAGAGACACCACCAGTGGTGCATGGCAGAGACACCACCAGTGGTGCATGGCAGAGACACCACCAGTGGTGCATGGCAGAGACACCACCAGTGGTGCATGGCAGAGACACCACCAGTGGTGCATGGCAGAGACACCACCAGTGGTGCATGGCAGAGACACCACCAGTGGTGCATGGCAGAGACACCACCAGTGGTGCATGGCAGAGACAACACCAGTGGTGCATGGCAGAGACACCACCAGTGGTGCATGGCAGAGACACCACCAGTGGTGCATGGCAGAGACACCACCAGTGGTGCATGGCAGAGACAACACCAGTGGTGCATGGCAGAGACACCGCGAGTGGTGCATGGCAGAGACACCACCAGTGGTGCATGGCAGAGACACCACCAGTGGTGCATGGCAGAGACACCACCAGTGGTGCATGGCAGAGACACCACCAGTGGTGCATGGCAGAGACACCACCAGTGGTGCATGGCAGAGACACCACCAGTGGTGCATGGCAGAGACACCACCAGTGGTGCATGGCAGAGACACCACCAGTGGTGCATGGCAGAGACACCACCAGTGGTGCATGGCAGAGACACCACCAGTGGTGCATGGCAGAGACACCACCAGTGGTGCATGGCAGAGACAACACCAGTGGTGCATGGCAGAGACACCACCAGTGGTGCAT